TTAGAGAAGAAGCTGCCACTTGCTTTTTGTCACTGATGCAATCAACTGAAGAAGAGTAACTTAAACGATACTAAAAGAATATTAAAAAAATAAAAAACCCTAACATGAAGGCTGATAAACACTGAGATAAATTACAGGAGAAGATAGCTAAGGAAATTCTTCCACTGAAAATAGAAAGTAAAACTGAGTTATTTATACTGATGGTGAAGAAGAAGAACATGAATGCTTGTTAGTTGCCCAAATTTATTCTTGGGCCAAACAAGGCAGTCTGAACCTTACGTAGTCATGGTGACTATACTGAAAGCAAGCAGGTAGAATGTGTCTGGGCAAGTGGCATGCATCCATGCCACAGGCCTGAACCTTAGCTCATGTTTAATGTCAGGACTAGCTATTAACAAGTCCAACAACTATACTTCCCTTGTCAGATAAAACCATATCCATTCTCTGCAAAGTTTCGGTGGTAGCCAGCCTTCAAGGATCCTTGTCTCCTGGTACACACCTTTGTGTAGACTCTCCCCGCACTGAATGGAGAAGACCTGTGTTACCAGTAGGATATTGTGTGTGACTGACAAGGCTAAGGCATAAAAGACAACATGGCTTCCACTTTACTTGCTCTTGGATCATGGGCTCTGGGGGAAGTCAGCTGCCATGTTGTGACGATACTCAAGAAGCCCTATAGAGAGACCCATGTGGCAAAGAACTGACCAAGAGCCAGGACCAACCTGTCAGACATGTGATGAGCCCCCTTAGAAGTGGGCCATCCACACCATCACCCTATTACCAAAACCAGACAAAGATGTCACAAAGAAAGAAAACTACAGGCCAGTATCACTGATGAACATAGATGCAAAAATCCTCAACAAAATACTAGCAAACAGAATCCAACAGCACATTAAAAGGATCACATACCATGATCAAGTGGGGTTTATCCCAGGAATGCAAGGATTCTTCAATATACGCAAATCAATCAATGTGATACACCATATTAACAAATTGAAGGAGAAAAACCATATGATCATCTCAATAGATGCAGAAAAAGCTTTCAAAAACTTCAACACCCATTTATGATAAAAAAAAAAAAACCCTCCAGAAAGTAGGTATAGAGGGAACCTACCTCAACATAATAAAGGCCATATATGACAAACCCACAGCCAACATTGTTCTCAATGGTATAAAGCTGAAACCATTTCCATTAAGATCAGGAAAGAGACAAGGTTGCCCACTCTCACCACTATTATTCAACATAGTTTTGGAAGTTTTAGCCACAGCAATCAGAGAAGAAAAAGAAAAAAACGGAATCCAAGTCAGAAAAGAAGAGGTAAAGCTGTCACTGTTTGCAGATGACATGATACTATACATACAGAATCCTGAAGATGCTACCAAAAAACTACTAGAGCTAATCAATGAATTTGGTAGAATAGCAGGATACAAAATTAATGCACAGAAATCTCTTGCATCCCTATACACTAATGATAAAAATCTGAAAGAGAAACTAAGGAAACACTCCCATTTACCATTGCAACAAAAAGAATAAAATACCTAGGAATAAACCCACCTAAGGAGACAAAAGACCTGTATGCAGAAAACTATAAGACACTGATGAAAGAAATTAAAGATGATACAAACAGATGGAGAGGTATACCATGTTCTTGGATTGGAAGAATCAACATTGTGAAAATGACTATACTACCCAAAGCAATCTACAGATTCAATGCAATGCCTATCAAACTACCAATGGCATTTTTCACAGAACTAGAACAAAAAATTTCACAATTTGTATGGAAACACAAAAGACCCCAAATAGCCAAAGCAATCGTGAGAAAGAAAAACTGAGCTGGAGGAATCAGGCTCCCTGACTTCAGACTACACTACAAAGTTACAGTAATCAAGACAGTACTGGCACAAAAACAGAAAGATAGAACAATGGAACAGGATAAAAAGCCCAGAGATAAACTCATGCACATAAGGTCACCTTATTTTTGATAAAGCAGGAAAGAATATACAATGGAGAAGACAGCCTCTTCAATAAGTGGTGCTGGGAAAACTGGACAGCTACATGTAAAAGAATGAAACTAGAATACTCCCTAACACCATACACAAAAATAAACTCAAAATGTATTAAGGACCTAAATGTAAGGCCAGACACTATAAAACTCTTAGTAGAAAACATAGGCAGAACAATCTATGACATAAATCACAGCAAGAACCTTTTTGACCCACCTCCTAGAGAAATGGAAATAAAAACAAAAATAAACAAATGGGACCTAATGAAACTTCAAAGCTATTGCACAGCAAAGGAAACCATACACAACACAAAAAGACAACCCTCAGAATGGGAGAAAATATTTGCCAATGAAGCAACTGACAAAGGATTAATCTCCAAAATATACAAGCAGCTCCTGCAGCTCAATATCAAAAAAACAAACAACCCAATCCAAAAATGGGCAGGAGACTTAAATAGACATTTCTCCAAAGAAGACATACAGATTGCCAACAAACACATGAAAGGATGCTCAACATCACTAATCATTAGAGAAATGCAAATCAAAACTGCAATGAGGGCTTCCCTGGTGGCACAGTGGTTGAGAGTCCGCCTGCTGATGCAGGGGACACGGGTTCGTGCCCCGGTCTGGGAGGATCCCACATGCTGCAGAGCGGCTAGGCCCGTGAGCCATGGCCGCTGAGCCTGCGCGTCTGGAGCCTGTGCTCCACAACAGGAGAGGCCACAACAGTGAGAGGCCTGCGTACCGCAAAAAAAAAACAAAAAAAACAAAAAAAAACTGCAATGAGGTATCACCTCACACCAGTCAGAATGGCCATCATCAAAAAATCTACAAACAATAAATGCTGGAGAGGGTGTGGAGAAAAAGGAACCCTCTTGCACTGTTGGTGGGAATGTAAATTGATACAGCCACTATGGAGAACAGTATGGAGGTTCCTTAAAAAACTTAAAATAGAACTCCCATATGACCCAGCAATCCCACTACTGGGCATATACCCTGAGAAAACCATAATTCAGAAAGAGTCATGCACCACAGTGTTCATTGCAGCTCTATTTATAGTAGCCAGGACATGGAAGCAACCTAAGTGTCCATCAACAGATGAATGGATAAAGAAGATGTGACACATATATTACGCAGCCATAAAAAGAAACGAAATTGAGTTATTTGTAGTGAGTTGGATGGACCTAGAGTCTGTCATACAGAGTGAAGTAAGTCAGAAAGAGAAAACAAATACCATATGCTAACACATATATATGGAACCTAAAAAATAAAAAGGTTCTGAAGAACCTAGGGGCAGGACAGGAATAAAGATGCAGACATAGAGAATGGACTTGAGAACACAGGGAGGGGGAAGGGTAAGCTGGGAGGAAGTGAAAGAGTGGCATGGACATATATACACTACCAAATGTAAAATAGATAGCTAGTGGGAAGCAGCTGCATAGCACAGGGAGATCAGCTCGGTGCTTTATGACCACCTAGAGGGGTGGGGTAGGGAAGGGTGGGAGGGAGACGCAAGAGGGAGGAGATATGGGGATATATGTATATGTATAGCTGATTCATTTTCTTATACAGCAGTAACTAACACACCATTGTAAAGCAATTATACTCTAATAAAGATGTCTAAAAACAAACTGAAAAACTGAACTACATTTTAAAAAAATAAATTTTATATGAAAAAAACAGTAAAGCAAATTGACAAAGAAAAAAAAAGAAGTGGGCCATCCAGCTGCTCGCAAGCCTTCAGATGACTGCAGCATGATCTTTTGGGTAATACTAAGCTACAACCACAGCTACACAGCTCCCAAATTCCTGCCCTACAGAAACTGTGCAAGATAAGTGTTATTTTAAGCTAAATTTGGGATAAATTGTTATGCAACAACAGATATCTAATATAGTTTGTTAGTTAAAAGTTTAATATTTGGGCTTCCCTGGTGACGCAGTGGTTAAGAATCTGCCTTCCAATGCAGGGGACATGGGTTCAAGCCCTGGTCCGGGAAGATCCCACATGCCACGGAGCAACTAAGCCCATGAGCCACAACTACTGAGCCTGCACTCTAGAGCCTGCACGTCACAACTACTGAAGCCCGTGTGCCAAAACTACTGAAGCCCACATGCCTAGAGCTCATGCTCCGCAACAAGAATGCCACTGCAATCAGAAGCCCGTGCACCACAACAAAGGGTAGCCCCCGCTTGCCACAACTAGAGAAAAGAATGCCCGTGTGCAGCAATGAAGACCCAACACAGCCAAAAATAAAAAATAAAATAAATAAATTTCTTTTAAAAGTTTAATATTTTTTGTATGACTTCAGAAAAATGGCGCAATGTAAATGAATCTGTTCCTTCTATTAGAATTTCTCAGAAATAAAAATGTGAATGATTAAGTCCTCATATGTGGTCTCAGAAAGGACACACACACCGAGTTCATACAGGAGAGGGCACTGTTCCCTATTTTCTACAGCACCTTTCTCCACAGCAGGAATGACAATTTAGGGGAAGTAACAAGGGCTTCACTGCAAGTGACCTCCTTGACTATCTTAACAGAATTAATATAGGTCTTTAAAAAAAAAATCACAGTTTAACCAAAAATCACTGTTTCTGATTCTGGAAGTATCCCCTCAGATGACAAAGTTGCATTGCTTTATCACTCCTCAGCATCACTGGAGCAGTATCTCTTTTATTAAAGCTTCTCTGATAATTTCCAAAGTTCACAGAAGAGCACCAGTACTTATTTGTCATAAGTCTGTGATATGCAACCTGGAACTGCAGCAGTCTTCTTCCAGCCCTTCCCAGCTTCCCACAGTGAGCCGCTGAGAGGCCAGTGCCCACCTCAGTGTCTTCAGGGAGAAGGATTTCTCCTCCCTCCGTTCTAGCCTCCTTCAATAAACAGCAACCCTAAAAGTTTTCTGGCTCTGAAATGTGATCTGCAGTGTAGCTCATTTTCCCTCTATTTTCTGCCACAAATTAGGTTAGAGTTCCTGGTATAGACCCAGCGTCTACACTGGCTGCAATAGTAATAGCTGTGAAGTCAAGCAGTGCAAAAAAGGTCTCCGGTGCCTGATGGCGGCCACGGCGGGAGGGTTTTCTCATCCGCCAACTCTGCAGTGTGGTTTGGAAATCATTTCTGGAAGATGCACCGCAAGCATTGTTTCTTCACAGCTCTCACAAGAGTTTTTTGAGCCACTCATGTTCATTTCAATGAATTCTTCTTCAGCAGCTACAGTCAGCTTCCACTGCCTGCTGTTAAGAAAAGCAAGAGAGAGGCATGGGCATATATGCACTAACAAACGTAAGGTAGCTAGCTAGTGGGAAGCAGCGGCATAGCACAGGGATATCAGCTCAGTGCTTTGTGACCGTCTGGAGGGGTGGGATAGGGAGGGTGGGAGGGAGGGAGACGCAAGAGGGAAGAGATATGGGGATATATGTATATGTAGAACTGATTCACTTTGTTATAAAGCAGAAACTAACACACCATTGTAAAGCAATTATACCCCAATAAAGATGTTAAAAAAAAAAAAAAAAAGAACCCTGACTGATGTGCCTTATTCAAGACCAACTCTGCTAAGTTGGTCAAATCTCTAGGGAGCCCTGCCCTAGGTCCAGAAAGCTCTCTCTTGGTCCAGAGACTCTCTCTCCACAAAGAACTGACCTTGATAGACTGGATTTGCCAGTTTCGAGTTACGTTACACACTTTCCCAAAGCTCCAAAGGTTAATTATGGGTGCATCTTTCTAGACCACTACATTCCCTGAAGTTGGGCATTTGCCTCAACGTGACTAAGGTACCTCACTTTCAAGCAGAGCTGGATGGGGTCCTGGGTGTGAAGATCCTGCATTGTTTGCTTTTCTTTCAGGCTTTAATACTATGTCTGCAAAGGACCTGGATTCCAGGAAAGGCATTTGCTCATTTTTAGCATGCTATCTCCTTTTTCCAGCAGTTCAGAAATGGGTTGTTGGTAGTGAAAGTGACTCAAATACCCTAATCTTAGTCAACTCTGAGTTTCCAAGTTTATATAATAAAGGTATATAGTCCTAACTTGATTTGGCTTCTAATTATGTGGACATCTTTCTCCAGCCAAACTACTTGGTTATAATTGAATAGTCTTTTAGATTTTTTTTTTTTTTTGCTGTACGCGGGCCTCTCACTGTTGTGGCCTCTCCCGTTGTGGAGCACAGGCTCCGAACGTGCAGGCTTAGCGGCCATGGCTCACGGGCCCAGCCGCTCCGCGGCATGTGGGATCCTCCCGGACCGGGGCACGAACCCGTGTCCCCTGCATTGGCAGGCAGACTCTCAACCACTGCGCCACCAGGGAAGCCCTCTTTTAGATTTTTTTTAAAATTCTATGTATCCACCAAGCTGAAACATTTCTCTTTAGAGGTTACAACCTTAACAGTAAGGATTATTTCTTATGTAAAATCTCTCTAAAGGAATGTGAGTTGAAAAACTCCAGTCTTGACACAGTTCATAAACATAATTTATAAATGTGAAATAAATGTTCAGAGGCTACTTCTGAAGAATTTGTGCTTTAGACTTTGGATGATGGACACATTGGATCTCAGTTGGATCAGCCACATGCCCTCACCTTACTCTTGACATGGTTCTCCCTGAGGCAAGCCTGGACGTAGATGGCAGAAGACTGAGAAGGAATGAATGACTCTGTCCGAAATCCCTTGCATTTCACATACTTCTAGAACTCCATTTTCATTGCCTCCAGAGAGGCTCCATCCCTTGGACCTATCAAAAGATAATTGAGAAATTGAAACTGGTCTGGCAGCTCTATCTTTTAGCAAACAAAGATTTTATTGCTTCAATTTCTGGTTAGACCACAACTTCCAGGAAGCCATTTTTAAAATTGGCTAAGGAAATGGCAGGCACAAATTAAATAAGGAAGAAGTCCCTAGGAGCTCATGGAGTTAAACTGTATTGTCAATTGTTTTTTATCATTCCTAAAAATCTACGACAAGAAAGTTTCTGTGGAAGACTTTAGGAAAAACAAGAATGGGATAGATCAGGGACATTTGTGTCTGCAGAATGACATCTCAGAGGGAGTATGTATGGAAGCCTGGATTTCACATGAGTTTCATACACAAGTCCTTATATTAGTCCCAGCTTTCATACGCAAGTCCTTATATTAGTGGGCTGTACTTGACATTGTTTCCAATTCCTGCCTTTTTAAAGTTTCTACTCTCTTGGTTTCCATCACCTCTTGCTATGCTGATTTTCTTCCAACCTTTCTAACTGTTCTTTCTCTGTGTTCTTTCCTTAGCGGGAAACTTGAATGCCTACCCTTTGAATGTGGGTATTCTCCATTGCTGTATGTGGTCAACCTAGAGCATTTTCATCTACTGTGAGGGTTTTACCTACAAACTATGTGATTCAAATTCCCAAGTCTCTTTCCCCAACTCTGACATGAGATCTAAACCCCCTGAGAATCATACTAGTATGGTTTTATTTCCACTCCTCTAGAATCTAGAGCTACAACTTCTTGTGACATGCCAACGTTTTTCATAGCCCATCCATTTGCCTCTTCTATACTTACACTCCCAGGAGGAGAAATTAGATTGTTTATGGCTGTCATTGTTCTTTCTTGGGACTTCAATTGGTTATTGGTTTTACTAGTTTTGATGCATTTGTCAGCAAGTATTCAAGTAACCCAATAAAAGTAATTTAAACTTAATAAGGACATTTGTTAACTCACACAACAGGGGTTGGTTGTTTCAGTGTTTAAACGATGTTACCAAAGACCTAAGACCTTTTGTCTTTCCTCCTTACCAGCTTCTGTATGCTGGCTCTAATCCCTCCCTGATAGTTAAAAGGTGACGGCTGCAAGTTCAGGTATCAAGTCCTCGGATCATCTACGGCAGATTACTTGGAGTCCATCCATTTCTCCAGATTTTCTATATTTTCTAAAATTACCCCAGTATTAGGTCAGTTTGGTAGAGAATGAGGTTCCCGAACTGTAGCAGACTGGCCTCCACTAGAATTGCTTAAGCAGTTGTGCCTGGGGAGATGCCACTAGACTATGTTGAACAAAGCTTCTAGAATCAGCCTTAGATTTTTTTTTTTTTTTTTGGTACGCGGGCCTCTCACTGTTGTGGCCTCTCCCGTTGCGGAGCACAGGCTCCGGACGTTCAGGCTCAGCGGCCACCGCTCACGGGCCTAGCCGCTCTGCGGCATGTGGGAACCTCCCGGACCTGGGCACGAACCCGTATCCCTTGCATCGGCAGGCGGACTCTCAATCACTGTCCCACCAGGGAAGCCCCTAGATTTTTCTTTTTTTTTTTAACATCTTTATTGGAGTATAAATGCTTTACAATCGTGTGTTAGTTTCTGTTGTATAATAAAGTGAATCAGCTATATGCATACATATATCCCCATATCTCCTCACTCTTGCATCTCCCTCCCACCCTCCCTATCCCACCCCTCTAGGTGGTCACAAAGCACCAAGCTGATCTCCCTGTGCTATGCAGCTGCTTCCCACTACCTATCTATTTTACATTTGGTAGTGTATATATATATTCATGCCACTCTCTCACTTCGTCCCAGCTTCCCCTTCTCCCTCCCCGTGTCCTCAAGTCCATTCTCTACGTCTGTCTTTATTCCTGTCCTGCCCCTAGATTTGATTCCATATATATGGGTTAGCATATGGCATTTTTATCTTTCTGACTTACTTCATTCACTCTGTATGACAGTCTCTAGGTCCATCCACCTCGCGCCTGTCTCTGGAGCTCATTTAGGTGGTGCTCTGAAGCCCCTCTCCTCGTGCACCCTGAAACAATGGTCTCTTGCCCCTTCGGCAGGTCCAGACTTTTTCCCAGACTTCCTCCCGGCTAGCTGTGATGCACTAGCCCCCTTCAGGCTGTGTTCACACAGCCAACCCCAGTCCTCTCCCTGGGATCCGACCTCCGAGGCCCGAGCCTCAGCTCCAAGCCCCGCCCGCCCCGGCGGGTGAGCAGACAAGCCTCTTGGGCTGGTGAGTGCTGGTCGGCACCGATCCTCTGTGCGGGAATCTCTCTGATTTGCCCTCCGCACCCCTGCTGCTGTGCTCTCCTCCGTGGCTCTGAAGCTTCCCCCCTCTGCCACCCCAGTCTCCACCCGCGAAGGGGTTTCCTAGTGTGTGGAAACATTTCCTCCCTCACAGCTCCCTCCCCGAGGGGCAGGTCCCGTCCCTATTCTTTTGTCTGTTTTTCCTTTTCTCTCTTGCCCTACCTAGGTACGTGGGGAGTTTCTTGCCTTTTGGGAGGTCTGAGGTCTTCTGCCAGCGTTCAGTAGGTGTTCTGTAGGAGCTGTTCCACATGTAGATGTATTTCTGATGTATTCGTGGGGAGAAAGGTGATCTCTGCGTCTTACTCTTCCGCCAACCTGAAGTTCCCCCAGGTTAGTATCCACCCTGGGGATGGATGTTGTGTGAACATATCATTCCCTCTCTATGAAGACTCTCAGGAGAAGTTTCTGTGTGGTTTTTGTGCGGAGCAGAGTCCTAATTTGCTTAAGCAATCATTTTATGGACAAGATGAATTGCCTGGCTGATAAGATATCCTCTTTTTCTTAGGCTGCTCAAAGGCCTAGCGCCAAGTCTGGGGGCCACCTAGGCCAAATACACGATTTTACCACCTGCCATAAACCCAAATTCCTACAGCAGAAGCCACGCTCAAACTATTTGACAGCAGGTACAACAAAGGCCCCAATCAGAATGGGCAACAGTTGTAAACCATGACCATCAGCCTGCATCACCAGCCAGGCAGCTAGTGTAGACAGGCAAAATAGAGTGAGAATTTTAAAAGAAAACTCAACCTATTTTGGGTTTTTTTTTCACATTTGATAGAGATAGTCCATGATGATAAATGGGACTGACACTCCACCTCAGAGTTGGGGAGACAATAGGGAGTGGTGGGGACTGTGGTAAACTGGAGAATCCATGCACTCTTAAGAATGGTGACTGCAGCAAAAGCAAGAAGAACTACAATCCTGCAGCCTATGGAACAAAAACCACATTCACAGAAAGATAGACAAGATGAAAAGGCAGAGGGCTATGTACCAGAGGAAGGAACAAGATAAAACCCCAGAAAAACAACTAAATGAAGTGGAGAT